CCTCTTCCACATAGATTGTAAGCGCGTTTGAGCAGGGCCTTCTTCTTATCTCTGATATGTTGTATTTCGTATGTAAATTACATATTGTCATATATCTCCATTTTATAATTTTAATGCACTATGGAATAGGTTGACACTATATAGATCACAATGATATAGCATTTATATTTTAGACTTATACTTACTGTTTGTTATTAAACATAAATGTGGAAAACATCTGAAGCAGTAACAGACAAGGTATAATGTGTACTCTGTAATAATGTTAATCCTTAGTAGGAATAACTTGAAAAATAAAAGAGAATTATGTAAATTTACATAATGATGTTACCCATGGACAGCTGTCTGCATACAATCTTGTGATTTAGTTCTACTTCTTTAGCTGCTAACTATTCATGCCATGTTTCACAAATATTACTGGTAAGTGGGTGGTTAGTAAGAGAGTGAAAGTGGGAATTTTTCATTGTTATGAATCAGGTGAATCTTTTAAAGGTTTGACTAAAAATTATTTTGGAAATTACATAGTTACATAGTATGAAAAGAGACATGTGTCCATCAAGTTCAGTCTTCCACTCATCTGCTTTTTGCTGCTGATCCAAAAGAAGGCAAAAACCCAGTTTGAAGCACTTTTTTTGGCAACAAAGTAGGAAAAAATTCCTTTTTGACCCCATAATGGCAGGCAGATTTATCCTCTGATCATGGCGCTATTACCCTACAACTAAAAGATTATATAATTGAATATTATGTTTTTGCAAGTATGCATCTAGTTGCTGTTTAAACATCTGTATGGACTCTGATAAAACCACTTCTTCAGGCAGAGAATTCCACATCCTTATTGTTCGTACGGTAAAAAAAAAACATCTCCTTTGCCTTAGACTAAATCTTCTTTCTTCCAGTCTAAATGCGTGACCTTGTGTCCTATGTATAGTCTGATAAAACCACTTCTTCAGGCAGAGAATTCCACATCCTTATTGTTCGTATGGTAAAAAAAAAACATTTCCTTTGCCTTAGACTAAATCTTCTTTCTTCCAGTCTAAATGCGTGACCTTGTGTCCTATGTAAAGTCCTGTTTGTGAATAGTTTTCAAGGCAATGGTTTCTATCGGCTCTGAATATATATCATATCAGAGGCACCGCTTTTCTAAACTAAAGAGGTTTAAATTTGTTAACCTTTCTTCATAGCTAAAATATTCCATTCCTTTTATTAATTTTGTAGCCAGTCTCTGTGCTTTTTCTAGTGCCATGATATCCTTCTTTAGAACAGGTGTCCAAAACTGCACAGCATATTAAAGATGTGGTCTTACCATTGATTTATAAAGTGGCAATATTATTTTCTCATCCTGAGAATGAATGATCCCTTTAATACATGACAATACCTTACTGTCCTTGGCCACTGCTGATTGACATTGCACATTGTTGCCTAATTTGTTGCCTATAACAATTTCCAAATCCTTCTTCTGTGTTGTTATCCACAATTCACTACCTTTTAGGGTACACGTTTCTTAACTTTTTTGCATTTTTCTACATTCAATTTCATCTGCCATTTGAGTGCCCAGTGCCTCAATCTATCTAAATCCCTCTGCAGCAAAGTAATATCTTGCTCACGTTGTATTACTTTAGAGTTTTGTCATCTGCAAACACTGAAATAGAATAGAACCGTGAGGGACACCACTTACACTTTTGTCCAGCATGAAAATGTACCATTAATGACAACTCTCTGTACTCTATTTTTAAGCCAATGTTCTACCCAAGAACAAGAATTTCCATCTAGACTTAATTTTCTGAAATCTTATTTTCATTTTCACAATTCTCCAAAGACAGTCCTGAGGGTTCTGAAATGAGCAGAAAATGTAAAACATGAGGAGGGGTGTGGAGGGTCTGAAATGGGCAGTAAGACTTGAGGTGGGCAGTTTGATAATTTAGAGCGTTTCTATATCAAAGATCTCTTCATCAAAAATACACCTGCATGTCTATTTATTCGTGTCTCACTCTCTAGACTAAGCCAGTGCCCATCCCACAGGTCAAGAATTGGAATTGTACACATAAATTATTCTTGGAAAGATACTTATTATTATTATCATTATGATATTTATATAGCGCCATCAAATTCCGCAGTGCTTTACAATGGGTGAACGAACAGACATGTAGTTGTAACCAGACAAGTTGGACACACAGGAACAGAGGGGTTGAGGGCCCTGCTCAATGAGCTTACATGCTAGAAGGAGTGGGGTAAAATGACACAAAAAGGTAAGAATAGTATTAGACTAAGAATTAATCAATTTGCTGTCAACAAGAGCAAAGAGTGCAGAAAAAGTCCCCGTCATGAAAATAGAAACATGAAAAGACATTTTGTCAGGCCGAAACCAGGAGGTAAGTAGTTAAATTATTTTGAGAGGCTGCAAATATATTGCCTAATCCAGAGGTTATTAACAGTATTTTGTTAGTGTTTCAAATTACATACATATCCTAAGCTTGGTAACACATCTGGCAATTAGAAAATTAGCCCAGTGACCCATTCTTCAAGTGTAATATATTAAACAGGCTATTTAATTTTGCCAGGGAGTTAAGAGCTTCTACAGTAAAACAACTTATTATCGTACTTGCTAGAGGTCTGGTTGGATTTTATTAACTGAATGGACCTAGAAATCAGCATCGGGACCTGTTTGCTGCTACCAACAAAGCATGTAAGAATCATTAGTCTAACCTGTTTCTAGTGCAAAGACTTGCGTAAGAACAGATACGACTGTCTAGCTAGTAGAGTTAGATGGCCGCCTAAGGACGTGTGTTCTCTGGGATCTCACAGCCGCCCAACTCACCTTAGGGCAGACTGACCCATCAGGCCCTTGATCCCTGACCAATGGCCTGACAACAGGATGGGCCCAGCAGCTTGCCCTGTATGCAGCTGCATCTGCCTGGGGGAAGAGAGAGAACAGCACCTCCGATCTACAGTTTCAAAGGGTGCCGGGTTGCAGAATGTAAAGTGTGTGACGAGCACCAGCCAACCACTTTTTACTATGGCAATGTTCTCACACATCGAGATATCTAACACACAGTCTGTTTGCTGCACCAAGCAAAGCTACAGTCTGGATAGCTAACCCATCAGACCACCAGAGAGGGAATTGATTACTGCATGAAAATGTTTTTAAAGTATTTAAATGTAGGGAGGCTGCTCATTCAAACACAACATGCAAACACACTTTCATCACCCCCCCCCCACACACACACACACTGTCAACCCCCTTCACCATGCCACACTCACATTAATTCCCTTAATGCTGTCACACTCACCCTCTCGTTTTGCCACATTCACACTATCACATTGACCCCTCTAATCCTGTGACTCACTTATCACATTAAGTCCTATCACACTTACCCCACCAACCATGCCTCACTCACCCTGTCACATACCCCCTAATCCTATCACTCACCTACCCTTGCCCTGTCACACTCCCTCTTCCAACCATGTCACACTTACCCCCAACCATGCCATACTCACCTTGCCATATTAAGCCCCTAATCCTGTCACACTTACCTCCCCCTCTCCCTGCCACATTCTGTCACAGTAACTCTGTCACATTAACACCTCTAATCCTGTCATACTCACTACCCCAATCCTATTAATTCCAGCTGCCAAATGAAACCCCATTAATCCTGTAATGTAAACATATGTAAAACTACATATTAAAATACCAAAGGGAAAGGAGAATGTACTTATACTGACATAGAACAAATTATTAAACAAAGTGATTTAAATGTTATACAATTTGCATTGCTTGTTGACAATGTCAAAGCACAAAACCATTATCCCTGGCTTGTTCAATTAAGCCCTTCACCATCCTTAATATAACATCTGTTTTAACCAATTTAAGGCCACTTGAAAGGCCATGCCGTTGTGCAATGCAGCACTCGGCCAATGATGGCATAGAAAATCATTCGTTAAAAGTACCAGTATGGTTAAAGCCCTGCTGGTACGGTTACCATATATAATTCGATACCCCAGTATCCCCTCTGGCAGTTGGGCCAACAATTAGTGGTCCAAGAGTGACAGATTAGGTTAGTGCCACGCTCATAGTGAGCCGTGCACTCACTAAGTGACAATTCCTCTTCAAAGGGTGTTTTCTTATGATGGATCTATTCTGTCTTTGGTTCTTAAAGGGACACTATAGTCGCCAATCCAGATTGAGCTTAATTATGCAGTTTTGGTGTATAGATCATGCCCCTGCAGTAGATTCTCTGCCTTTAGGAGTTAAATGGCTTTGTTTATGCAGACCTAGTCACACCTCCCTGCATGTGACCTAAACACTTCCTGTGAAGAGTCATCTAATGTTTACACTTCCTTTATTGCACAGTCTGTTTACTTTAGAATTCCTCACCTCCTGCACTGTCAAGAGGGTTCTAGACCCTGCAGCAGCCTCCTGTGTGTGATTCAAATTCAATTTACAGAGCAGGAAATAACAACTTCTAAGTAAGTTAACATCTAATTGAAATTAAACCTTTTCATGCAGGTTGTGTCAGTCACAGTCAAGGGAGGTGTGGCTAGGAATGCATTAAAGGACCACTATAGTGCCAGGGAAACAAACTCGTTTTCCTGGCACTATAGTGCCCCTTAAGGTGCCTTCACCTGAAACACTCACCTTTCTCCAGCACTGGGGACTCTCCTCCTCCTTCGGTCGTTATCGGCTGAATGCGCGTGCGTGGCAAGAGCCGTACGTGCATTCAGTCCGTCCATAGGAAATTTTTTGTAATGCTTTCCTATGGACGCTGGCGTCTTCTCACTGTGAAAATCACAGTGAGAAGCGCAGAAGCGCCTCTAGCGGCTGTCAATGAGACAGCCACTAGAGGCTGGGTTAACCCATTTGTAAACATAGCAGTTTCTCTGCTTAATTAAGCTAAAGTTGTTTTGTTGACTATAGTGTCCCTTAATAGAGTTTAATATTTACTGGTTCAGAACACAGTATCACGGTGAAATCACTGCACCATTACATCACTACACAAAGGAAATCATTGCAAACCTGTATCTTCTCTTTCATCTTCTGAGAGTGCTTTGTAATTTCTAGAATCTCTTGAGTCTTTGTATCAATCTCCCCTTTTAGCTGCTTTACTTCCTGTAGCATGGCATCTTCCTTTGCCTGAACACATCTCTTCTGCTCTTGTTCCTTCTGTTGTAGCTGCTGTATCATGTCAGTCACTGATTGTTGCAAGGCTTTCCTCAGGCTCTCTCTCTCTTTGCTGTAGCTACTGTGCAGGTTCCCCACTTTCCGCCTATACTCCTCCGTTACCATTTTTTGCTGAGATTTCAGGTTCTCTACTTCTTTACTTAAAGCATCAATCTCTTTATTTAGCTTCTCAGTTACATTATCAGACGGCCTGTCTTTTTTGCATGATTTACACTCGTTTCTCAAGGAATCTGCTTCCTCTGTTAGCTTCTTAAGGTGATTTTCATAGTCATTTTTCATCGACTGGATCTCATTGGATAAGGCTGCGACCTTCTCGTCATGTTCGGCTTTGGTTTTCAGCTCGCTTTCCTCTGTTTGTTTTTTATAAGTGGCAAAATCCGCTAAGCTTTGCTCCTTTATCAAATTATTTTTTTCCAGGGATTCTTCAAGGCTCAGTATTCGCAATCGCAAGCTCTCTTCCTCTTCGATTTTCTTATCATACTGGAGGCATTTCTCCAGTGTTTCGGCGGAAATTAGATCAATTTCTTCTTGATGGGTTTCTTTCAAGGCTAGAAAGTTAACTTCATATTCATCGATTTTATGATTCAGAGCCTGTATCACCTTCCAAAAAAAATAAAATTGGTATTAGCATCACTCTCAAGTAACATTGTGCAATAGTGTTACATCAAAGAAAAAAAAAAAAAGCAAACATTTATTAATAAGTTATAAGACATGTATTTTCTAACTTATGTGAAAACGAAATAATTAGAAACCAAACTACATATGCATTTTTTTCTGATATTGCACTATTAAAAACAAATTGTAGTGTATGGCAGTCAGCTAAAACATTGCCTACTACTAAAATATTACTTATAGGAATCCAAAAAAATCAAATCAATTAAATTAAATTGTATACAATTCAGCATAGGCAAAAAAAAAATCTAATTCTGAATAATAATGGAGATTTTGCTTAACCTCATGAATATTTTACTGCTGCAGCATATGGCAAATAATCACCAACTAAATATACGTGAATGAAAAAAAATAACCATAAATTTCATTTTTATTGTTAAGCTAATTTTTAATACATAAAAATTCGATAAATATATTTGAGTAAATTAATAATGAATAATATGTAATTCCTTTGTAAAACTGCACATTACTGTTGTGTGCAAAGTATTTTATATAAACTACTGATTGCAGCACTTGTGGGACATGGAAGAAGTAAAATTATGAAAAACAAAAATCAAAATTGGAACAGCAAACTTAAATGATGCTCGGAATTCTCCATAAACATTAAGAGCGAAGTTCTGGCTTTCCACTTCTGCTGGTAAGTGAACAACCATTTTGTCACACTTCTTTAAACACATCTTGTCTAATTCCTTTTTTTAGTCTGTCTAGTCGTCCACATTCTTTGAAACACAATCTACGTGTCTATGCGTCTGGGTGATTACATTTTTAACTTGCAATATTTTTAAATTAGAAAGGAAATCAGCACTTGATGATACCAACACATTTGCATGTAGCATGCTACTGAAAGCTAATTTTAGTATTGAATGGAAAACCAGCACAGACACTCAGACAGAGGATTTATAGCACTGGAATTGGAGATTTATCAACAACCGAATGGAGGCTGATATCAACCAAATGCATACTGCTGGACGCACATTCACCAGTTATTATTAGTTTGTTTTTTCAAGTGAATAATAATTTAAAAGACTGTTTGCTCGCTGGCAGCATTAGCAGCCAGCATGCAAATAGTTCAAATCCCTCCACAATGCTTATTAAACTAAATAAATAAAAATCCTACGGGGGTCAATAAGACCCCCATATTGCTACAATGGAGGAAATGTACCTCCATATCTATCTGGGAGTTCGGTACATGTCTGCTAAACATTAAAAACTAGTTGCTAGAAATAGCAAGGGGAAGACATAGTTCCCATGGGCATCAGATGGGGGCTATTTGAAATATTACGGGGAATTTATAGCCCCCTCCCCTGGCTCCGCCCATGCCATTGTTCACCTTCCCAAATACTAGTTAGCCCACCCCAGGTGGCTCAGGGTCTCCAAGCCCCTAGTTGTCCCCCTAAAATAAAAGTCCCTACCTACTCCCCTTCACCCTAATAATAGTGAGGAGATGGCCAATAATTATAAAACATTTAAAAACACACACAAAACAATTATACTTAGCATCACAAGCCTTCTCTTCTCTGATTCTTCTGTTCTTCAGCATCAAGGCCTGATTGCAAAATGCAAAAAAAAACATAAAAAATAATGCATCTTCACCGGTGGTAGGTTTGCCACAAAATGTTCAGTCATAGCCTTTTATAGGTTTCCCATGCTATGACAGTTATCGCAAAGCAGGGGTAAATTTGTAGTAAATCAGAACTAATCAGAGTGCTCTGACAGACAAGTTTTGAGAGAAGAGCACCCTTTTATCTTAAATATTAGGGCCACCACCAATTGGTGGTGGCCAGAGAACGGCCACCCTCTTAATATTTAAAGTAACCACCACCTCATGTTCAAGGGTGGAGGTATTGGGGAGAATATGCCCCCTGTTATTTCACAGGAACCATACCCATGGGATGGGACCTTTTCTAGCGACTGAGCAGTAATGGATGACCAGCTGATTGGTTTAAACATTTAGCAGACATGCGGTAGGTTGGGGAATATAACAGTTATAGCAATATGGGAATCTTTAAATTTGACAATACATTATGGAAATCTTTTTGATCCCCATAGGATTTTTATTTATTTTATTGGACTATTTCCCTGTGGCGGATGGGTAACAAGCACTGGATAGCCGTCACATAATTAACCTCGCTCTGCCAAGAGTTAACTATTTGCCTGCTGGCTGTTAGTGGGCAAATCGTTTAGATTTTTCTTCAATTTATTAGTTACAGGCATTAGGTCCGGCTAAAATATAATAATGTTTTTTGTTTTTTTTTAAATATACTAATACACTCTAATAATCTCCATCACTGTCAGCTGTAGAGATCTGGGGCTAGAGACCCCACATCTGGGTCTTCAGGTTCCAGAAACTCCCTGCAATGCCTCTGCTAAATATAACAGGAACAAGGACTTGCTGCCCCTGGCCTAAACTACACTTTATAGTTTTGCTTTTGCTGTACTAACTAAAGGCATAGAGTTAACTCTATTTAATTCACAAGAGACAGTGTGTCTCCTTTCCTTTTATTCTTAGTGTCTGTTTCAACATGTGGAATGCTCCAGCGATTAGCTCACATACAGTTTTTAAGTAACAGGGAGCCTATTCTCAGTTATACTTGGTTGGGATAAAAAAAAAAAAAAAATTCCCTGGAATTTGCACTATTGAATAAAACACTGAACATCACCTACAACTTGTGATAACCCTTTTTTATTAGGTGTTACATTTCCTTTTAAATGTATATTAAAGGGAAACTCCAGTGCTTAAATACAAAATAAATACAATCATTGTTTAGTAGATATGCAAAGCAGAAAGGAGAAAACAAAAAACAGAGAAACCAAGGATAAAGATAAATAAGTCCTAAAGGCTCCCTGTAATTGCAATGCAACCCAAAGGGAAATAATTAAAAAATAACTTTTAATGAATTCCTTCTAAAAGTCAATACCTAGATAAATAGGTGAGAGGTAACACATAAATAGTGATTGAATGAAAGCTGGAGAGAGAGGAGAATAAAGCTTACAAAATAGCTAGGTAATATCACAAAGAGAAAAAGTAGTAACCTAGTAGATCATAAAGACATCCAGCAGTGTCTAGAATGTATCTAGCTATGAAACCCTAATAACGTTAATGCTATCTCCTAACTCCCAGTACTCTTAGGCTGAAGTCATCTACCTAAGTTAAACGGAGAAAAAACCTCAATAGAAGGTGCACAGAGGTTGTAATAGCTAAAAGTGAAACTAAAGAGAGGGTGGTCTATCCGAAGCATAGTAAATAATCTAATACTGGCTGCAGCATCGTCCCCAATAAATCTCTAGCCACCCGCTCACTAAAAAGTCCCGAAACGCGCGTTAGGTAGATGACCCTCTCTTAGGTAGATGACTTCAGCCTAAGAGTACTGGGAGTTAGGAGATAGCATTAACGTTATTAGGGTTTCATAGCTAGATACATTCTAGACACTGCTGGATGTCTTAATGATCTACTAGGTTACTACTTTTTCTCTTTGTGATATTACCTAGCTATTTTGTAAGCTTTATTCTCCTCTCTCTCCAGCTTTCATTCAATCACTATTTATGTGTTACCTCTCACCTATTTATCTAGGTATTGACTTTTAGAAGGAATTCATTAAAAGTTATTTTTTAATTATTTCCCTTTGGGTTGCATTGCAATTACAGGGAGCCTTTAGGACTTATTTATCTTTATCCTTGGTTTCTCTGTTTTTTGTTTTCTCCTTTCTGCTTTGCATTAATTTCTAGGGGTTACCCCCCAGTCCTCATAGCAACCCGACTTTTTACTCCTGTTCCTATCTCGTTTTCAATTCAATTGTTTAGTAGATATATTCCAAATTAAACTTGCATGCATTTAATTGTGCATTTTTTTGTTGGAGTTATATGTAAAACAGCTTTCAGAAACTGTATTTCTCTGCTGCCTTTGCAACCCCTCCCTTTCTAACTCCACCCAGACTTTCTGTGACTGTCCAATCACAGACTTCCAAATGCAGCTTAATGAGAAGTCTTTGCAAGACAGGTGCTCTGGACAATTGCTGGCTTTTGAGTTCAGTTTAACTAAGCTAACTGAGCCAGGAAGTAACAGGGCCTGTTTGCTTGAAAAGCCATTGGGGTGTAAACAGTATAATTCATAAAAGTGTAAATTTCTATTGAAATCTGCAATTTTTCCAAAATGAAAGGGATGTATATAAAAAATACCCCTTTCTGTCTCATTAGAGATATTTTTGCCAGAAGCTCAAGGAAGCAAGGCGAATGGTTAGAGTTAGGACCCACCTAAGAGGTTTGCCTTGATGTGGCAGGTGGGCTTACCCTCTCATGGCCATTGGAGGTAACTAAAAACCTCCATTTGTTTAAAAATACATAGGGATGTGGAAAGAGCGCAGGTAACTTTTTATTTTAAAGATTAGCTTTCTGCAGAGTAGCCATGTTTACTATGGTTATAACATGGATTATCTATAATATATTGTACATGTTGCACAGCTTTATTCGTTAAAGTCCTGCTCCTCTCATTAATTTTGCTACAAACTAACAGTATGCACACACAAAAGATGCTTTATATGTATCTGCTTAAAAATACACTGTATACTTTTCACCTAACCGTCTCAACAATTCCTGCAGGAAGTAAGAGACAAAACAGATGGGGTATTGGCAAAAACCTAGTTTTGTTTTGTTTGTATTGTTTTAATCAATACACCTGTCTCTAGGAGAAAACAAATTGCATATTTATTTGTATCATGCTTTGTCTGATATATGTTTGCATTTTTAGAACCTGGAGAGACGTCAAATAAAATCCCAATGCTGCATGGATTAAAATTTGTATCCATCAGGAAAATTGCACAAAGGGTAAATTACAGCTATACACTAGAACAGTGTTCTCCAACCCAGTCCTCATGGACCACAAACAGTCCAGGTTTTGTCAGTATCTCCATTGGAATAAAACAGGGAAATACATAAATCCTGGACTGTTGGTGGGCCATGAGGACTGGGTTGGGAAACACTGCACTAGAATACAGATTTAGGCAAACGTTTTGACATCTTTGACCAAATAATATACTTTTTTGAATTTCCAAGTGAAAAGAAGGCGGCACAACCTCTGCAACGAACAACTACTTTTTTTCTGCACATTTGAATGCATGATTAATTTTATTAATTTGCTGAACGTAATCCACAGAAAACATAAGATGACAAATCTGGTATGTTCAACAGTTTTGGTACCTTTTCTGTTAAAGGAAGACTCAAGGCACCCATACCACTACATCTCATTGAAGTGAGCTGAGTGGAGTGCCCCTGTCCCCTTAATTTTGTAAGTGAAAACATTACAGTTTTTAGAGGGTTCAGAGATCCTCTAGTGACTGTCTCCCAGACAGCCACTAGAGGTGTTTTCTCCATTTTCACAAAGTTTAACTAAGTTTAGTAAAACGGCGTTGGGCAGCCTCACGCTTTGCATGAGGACGTCCAGTATCTTCAAAAGCCCTATAGGAAAAATTTATTCAATGCTTTTATATGGGGAAGGTCTAATGTGCACATGTGGCTCATCTCGCGTGCACATTTGGTTCCCCATCGGTGTGATGTCACCGGAGAAAGAGATTAAGCCAGTGTTAATCTCTGTGCTGGAATCAGGTAAGTCTTAAAAAGGTTTTTTTAACACTTTATTCACTATGGGAAGGGATGAGGGGGGGGACACGCATGTAAGAGGGGAACTGACACTACAGGCTATGAATACAGTTTTGTATAACTAACATTATAGTGGTCCTTTAATTCACTAGTGATTTCTTTGTAAGAATCTTAACTGCCTACTAATTACTAAGAATCTTAACTGTTAACTGAACTCATTACACTTTTTCCTCATTTCTACAGAGCAGTATGGTTTCTACAGAGCAGTATGGTTCGGGTCGGTACGGTTTGGAAGGGTTAGAATGGTCCAGCCTATTCAGGTGAGCGTTTCACTGCAAGTCGGACTGCCAGGGGGCATGCAGGGTTTAGACCAATGCCTAGCGTATCATTTGTTGTGAGCATTGACATTTTCCTGTCCGCCAATCAATGGATATAGTGTGACGCCAATAGCTCCACCCTAACCGTACCTCAGGGGCGTACGTAGAGCATTTGGCACCCGGGGCGGATCCTATGCTTGGCACCCCCCACCCAAAAAACAGTAAAAAATGTTAAAGGTTATATTTCTTTTTTTTTTTACAATTTGTAAACTTTGCAAAACCGCTGTCAGCCCCTCCTACAAAACACTTGTCCTGCCCCGCCCCTCCTACAAAACCTCTGTCCTGCCCCTTCTACAAATCCTGTACTGCCCCGTCTACAAAACCCCCGCAACCCCCTTCCACAAATCCTCTGCTTATCCTCCCTTATAA